CACTAAAACTCCTGCTGTCTGTACTCGTTCAAGCCTCACCAAGTATATTTCTTGCTCCACGTTTCTCCGTAATTTACCGAGGTAAGACCGGCATTATAGTATTCATGGCCTGAGCGAGGAGCAGATGTTCAAGAACACACGCACACGAGGACAGAAGGCGTTCACAAGTGTTTTGTTTCTTCTGCGTGACTACGCCACGCAGCTGTACCATATAGATGCAGATAACATTGACGTAGATGTTGAAACATCAACACATGTGTCTTCATTATTGCATATGCCTTTTTTTTTCCTTTCTTGCAGTATGTCTCTTTATTCCTGCTTTATTATGTATCCCCCTCGGCGTTTGGTATTCCTATGAACTTTGAGACTACGCCATGAATATTGACCATTGAGTGAATCGAAACGCGCCATGCTTTTCTCTTCGTTCATGGGCGTGTTTACCCATGTCTCAAATGCCTAGGAAGCCAGGAAAGCTCACTTTGTCCCAGGTTCCTGACAAACATTTTTGCATGCCGTTCTCTTGTTTCATCACTGTGTATACAAGCCCTTCGGGCCAACTGATTCACCCTACAATATAAATCATATAATCTCCATTTAAGCATTCAGGTCAATGGCTTTTTATGATATTATCATGCTGCAACTATTAGTGCGTAGGATTGAGTCAGAGCTATAACGTCAACATAACAATCGCTGGTGACAGCTAGACCATATCGCGTTTCTCAATTCTATCTATCTATCTATCTATCTATCTATCTATCTATATATATATATATATATATATATATATATATATATATATATATATATATATATATATATATATATATATATCTTTCTTTCCTTCTATATAATCTAAACCCGTCATCTTTTTTCTCCCAATATGCTGTACTGCTCGTTTTCAGATTTCGCTAAGCGCTTACTTTTCTCTTTCTCTCTGATTCTCGCTCTTGGCCGATGACGTTCTATGTTGACATATTAAGAAAGAAGAGAATAACATCAACGCACAAAAGCTCGAAAATGTTTCTTTAAATAACGCTGCAAAGTTTGTGGCCATGACGGCCACAGGCTCTGTAATCATTGTAGCTCGTCATGACGGCCTCGTACAATGTCTACAAATACAGAAAACACACAAAGGGAACTATGCAAACTACTTACTCAAGATCATTGTTGGCAATGCTCACATTTTCAATGGCATTTGTTATCTATACTTTTTGGGAGTAAACGTTATATCTTGCCGCAATTTCCAAGTAGTTGATAATTTATTTTGTTCTTTTACTTTGTATCAAATGTGAGTTCACGCTCGATCACTTACATCCTCGAGAACAAGAGCGGTAAGTCTTTATGCTAAGAGTGTGACGTTTCAACTGCATGGTGTGTGTTTATGGTATTCTTGGTTGCCACACTAAAAGCAACGTCATCAGTTTAATATACGCCATGCCGTATTTTATGCGAAATTCCTTAACCCATCAAAATAGTTTGTCATGAGCAACAAATTCACTAAAAGTAGTAAAAAAGTGGTCTTATACTAAACAGTAGCAGAGTAGTTTTGAGTGTGTGCGAAAAAAAAAACTTGCACTCAAGTTCTACGAACGTAGGTCTTTTTATTAACGTAGTGCTTATTTCTCTATAGTACTTGAGGAAGCATGCCGAGTGATGTGTCTTCGTTGAATAACTTCGTTTCGTCGTACACGTAGCGTGCAATCATTAAACTTGTGACGAAGTGTCACACGTTCACCATCTTTATGCTGAGTCGGGCGTTGGTCCCCCTTTGCGTGCCAGTCATAGCAAGGTTACTACTCTACTTTCGGGAACACCCAAACAGGTCTGAAAAAAAAAATCTCTAATGTCATCTCTCGCAAGGCCTTATCGCCAAAAGGGAAGCCAGCGCTTTCACTCCATTTGCTTTTACCATACACCTCAGAAACCTGCTCTTACTGGTGGTGCCCACTTAGATATCCAGTGGTCTTGCTTTGTATGTAAACGCTACGTTAATTATGAAATAACACCACATTGTTCTTTCCTAACTAAAGTAACATGACGACATTAGTTTGAAAAGCGAAGCTCCTAATGATCCAGGTAAACGTCTGGTGTCCACAAAAAAAAAATTGCCCGCAGCTTCCCTCGGGGGAACACTGAGGAGGATGCGGACCATATAATTGGTTAACGGGGTGTTAAAGTGCGACTTACTTGGGTCGATGGCTGAATTGGTTAACGTGGTTGTGAAATGGGGTGTTAAATTGCGACTTTCTTGGGTCGATGGCTAAATTGGTTAACGTGGTTGTAGGAGGGGGTGTTAAATGAGTGAACACGTACACACGTATGCGAAAGGGCGGCGCTGGTCGAAGGGACGTCGATCATTGTGTTTGTGGATTCGTTGGAATTCATTTCACCGCGACCTTGGACGTTGACGCGCCGTACAAACCAACCGACGAGCGGCAACTGAGCGAGCGAGCGCCGACCTTGAGTATATATACAGCACGACGGCGCATGCACAGTCAGCTGTTGAATGTTCTCGAAGCGCGACGCCACATGCGCGTCCACTGGAGAATCAGGAGAATTGTAGATGTCGAACGCGGTGTGTAGAGGAGGAAGGGTGCACAGATGGTGGAGGAGTGAAGCGCGCGCGGTGTGTAGAGGAGGAAGGGATGCACAGATGGTGGAAGAGTGGGCGACGGCGCGACGGCGCATGCGCGCGCGTCAGCTGTCGAATGTTCGAGAAGCGGTGCGGACGGCGCGGATGGCGCGGACGGCGCACTACAAGGCGCGAGTATAAGATGCTTCCGCATCTAAAAAACTTCGCGCCGTTGCTAATCGATAGCCAATCCGTAGCTCCGGATTACCTGGCTATAACATCGCCTAGCCGCACGTGCGCCTTGGACCAGTCGCCGCCGAGCCCCGCCCACAGACAGAGGTAGTCTGCGCAGCCGCCGGGCCGAGCACGTCCGGCGGAGTGCGCGCGTACCACGAAAGCCACAGCCAGGCTTGTACGTTAGTTCAAGGCACTCAAGTTTGGACATTCCTGCATAGTCTGTGACAGGCTATGGTTCGACTCTACTCCGTTCACGCTCAGAAACGGCATCGGATCAGCCACGCAGGTCACGTCAAGTCTCTAAGATCGACCATCTTCACTGTTTGTTAAACTTTACACGGCTAGCTATTGTAAACTTTCTTTTTTTTTTGTTTACTTGACCTTGGACATGATTGGCTAACGTGTTTAGACTTCTTCGGAGAGCCAGTTAGGAGGACGGGGTATATGTCTGCAAAACCGGTCATATGTCTCTTCGGGCCTGTGGGCGAGATGCTTCTTTTTATGCAGTAGGTGCTGACGTTTTATCGTGCCCCTAGACCCCTGCGGCCACCTTCATTGGGCACGGAAAACTTCACTATTGAGGCACGATTTCCGCTCTAGCGCATATTTTTAAATCTCCTTGGGAACACCTCCGGTGAAACGGTCTTCGGGTTCATAGAGCGTAGCCCGCGTTACCGTTGGCGGAGTGTGTCGCAAAACGGTTATACACAGGCGCCGTATTCTAGATTTGCGCTTCGGGCGGCAGTGTCAATTGAATTACGCGTAGAATCTCGTGTGTTCGTTTGCTGACGTTACTTCTTGGCGGTGGTCGTGCACTGGAACGAAATATACCTAAACGTTATCCTCTAGGCGTTCAGCGCCAGGGCTTGTGACGAAGAGGACGTGTGCTCAAGTAAGCCATTGCTGCGCGTGTAGCGGACGTGTGTTTAAGAGAGAGAGAAAACACTTTTTTATGTGAAAAAAAAATTACAGAGGAATGTCGATCAGGCCGTGTCTGGGCACCACCTTAAGGAAGCCATTATTTCGGAAATGGACATGGAATTTCCAGGGACTACCGATAAGCAGGGTCGTACTTTTCATAGAGTGTTCATGTGTAGAATGGTTGACTCTGGCGACTGGTGGTCGCTTTGAAGGCCTATGAATGTGTTTTCGCACTAATAAGGCACACTTAAAGAGCATAGAGAGAACCCGTCGGAGATCCTTTTTTTTTTTGTTAAATAAAACGATATGAAGGCAGCAAGGTATCAAGCCAGGTGAAGTGTGAACTACATTATCTCTAACGTTGAACTGGAACGCAGTCACTATGTGGTAAAAGGAACTAAAGTTTCCGTGGGTGAGAAATCCGCAGCATGGCGACGTAGCATGGTTGAAGTACTTCAGGAACATTTTCTGGCACTCCAGGCTGGTCGAGGGTGAATACAGCACAAACGTAAGAAGGCGCGAAACGGACAAGAAACAGGGTGCTTGTATACTTCAACTAATGAATTACCTTCTGGCCAGTTTACATGATATGTCGGCAAACTCACTCGTAACTCGATTTACTCGCACTCGCTTAGATCTCGCTATAATTCTGAGAGAGCAATGCTTAGTTGAGATTGAGTCCAAGTCAGTTCGCTTGACAGAAATGTGAGTCTGAGTTCGAGTGAGTCCGGTCGAAGAAACGTTTGAAGATTCTAAGACTTAGTGAGTCCTCGGGCCGAAATGTGCTTCTGAATGAGCCCCACGGTTTGTTCTTGCAGACCTATAAGTTCAATACTTTAAAGAAGGTGATCCATACCAGAGAAAATGTCGACCACGCCCCCCCCCCCCCCACAAGAAAAAAAAAGGAAACAAGAAAACATTAGGTCTCTTCCAAACTACGTGGAAATACGTTTGCGCTCTTATCCCTACGAACTATGCCGAAGTACGCCTGAGATGCGGCAAAGTTACTTTCCGTGTCGCTGCTTCGCTCCAGCTGTTGTGTCTGCAGGCTGGGATACGAGTCCGCCGTAACAACCCGTGCGGAAGAGAACGCCTGAATGATTCGAAGCCGAGATACGACCGCAAGCCTTGCAGTTTGCGAACCGTATAGGTTAACCGGTGAGGTGGTCTCCAGCCGCAGTGAGACGTAAAATCGCACGCTATGTGTACGTACTAAACGGAGACGCGTGGCGTGCTGTGAACACTAACACGTGGTGGCCCTGACCGCCAGAGACCTGAAGCTGGACAACGTGCTGCTGGACCAGAAGGGCCACGTGAAGATCGCCGACTTCGGCATGTGCAAGTGCGGGCTCGCCGACGCCGAGAAGACGTCCACCTTCTGCGGGACGCCGGACTACATCGCGCCTGAGGTGAGGCTCGTTTACTCGCACAGGGTGCATGTATTGACGTCAAGAAACTGTACGTTGGGATGCCCCACGGCTCGAGTAGCGCCAGGATAAGCAATCACGGCGTATACGAATGGGGGCTAAAACGCAACTTCAGCATACATTCGCGTTATAATCACAGCTCTGCTGAATCCCATAAGGTGGAGGAAGAGAAATCCGTGGGCATATCAGATAAATCTGAATTTCAATCTATTACGAGAAATCGTCTGTCAAAATCTGCGTGGATTTTTCGCGGGGCTTCGACCTAAAGACGGGTTGTTCTCGATTTCTGTTTTTCGTACATGCACATATTTTCCTTCTGCAAATGGTGCTGTTTTTTTTTTTCTTTTTGCCTTTTATCGCGTACAACCACGCTTAACCTAATTGCAGTGAAAGAATCAGGTGTGGTTGCGCATTGCACATTGCTTTACTATTTTTTAGTAGTGGACATATAATCCTCTAATATGCGCACTCACAAAGAACATCATCTTTAAATCAGTTTCTGTCACATCGATATTTGTCGTGCTATCAAGCAGTTCATAGAATGGATGGAATCATTAGTGATATCAGGAAACCGTAACTGACAATCATGGCAATATACGTTTTTCCTTGACTAATTTATTCCTATCGCCATGTAGTCGACGACATATCTTGTTGTTTTTTTTTTTCATTTGGAACAACCGATGACCGCTTTAACGGCCTCGTTGACTCATCGAAAAAATATTTGTGCAGATTTCTCGAAGTCCCATAAGCTTAGTGTCTGTCGCAGAGCCTTCAAAGTCGAGAAAGATGCATGATATGCCGGAGTGGCCTGCCACGACACTCCTCTGCCTGTTTTGTAGAGCACTTGTCGTGCGTGCGTCGTCGTTCAGCATGACGATGCATGTGAGTCAAGCGATCGCATGTTATTCTGCTATTATACTCTATTGCCACGTTCCACTTAAACTCTGAAAAGCTGCGCACTCGTCGACTGCACAAAGGTAAGACCGGACTATTTTCATATGACGAGTAAATTGATACTGCCATAATAATTTTCTGGGACCTTCGTATATTATTCTCTTTAATTATTCCTCACCCATTTTGCTTTTCTGGGTACAGTGTAGTCGATTAAACATTTCCTCTGGTTAGCCTCCTTGTCATTTGCCTTTCTCTATCTGTTGAAATTGAAGCAATTCATTCCAAGAGAGGGGCAGAGAACGCAAGTGGGGTAGAGACAGGTAAGCTTTCCTGCCAACGCCACTTCTTTTTTTCCTCCGGATGTCATACACACCAACGCCTACAATAACGTCTTCAGGTGGATTCAACGGGTACTTTTTTTTTCTGCGCTGGCGAATCTGTCGTTAATGAAAAAAAAAATGCCACGTGTTTTCTTTTGCGTGTGGTTCTAGCAGTGGTGTTTAAACCTTGTCTCAGTAAGCAGTCTCGCTGTATGTAAGGCGTGGCCACGCCCGAGCAAGTACTTCCGGATTCGGGGCAATATTTTTCTTTTGTATGCTTTCTACAACAATGTGCTTCCGAAGTTAAAGACTAGGTACGTCTAAAGTTGGTTCCCTGGCCGAATGCTCGGTGTTATTGCATTGCAGTGACTGTGCAGGCTTTTGTGGAGCTGCTAGGAGAACTTCCGCGTTCGTATTCGTCACGTTTCTTCACACGACCTTCATAAAGCGCACAGCGGGAAACGTCTTGATGGAACATTCCAAGGTCGGTGCACACAAGATGTTGTAATCAGGAAAGGAGCCATAGGAACTGGGTCTGCACTACCACAGCTCAGTAGTTATATCACGTTACCAAGGCACATCGTACAAGTGATAAAGCCATCTTCCATTGCCAGTAATTATGACACACAAGGAGAATTCGCGTCAGACCAAGATATTGAAATAAACGTTGTCGTTACAATTTTTGCGTGAGCAACGAAGTTGTGCCACCTTCTCTTTCACGACATTTTACGTCAAACGCACATAACACTCGAATAATTGCGAGGACGTAAGGACTTCGCTTCGAGGATAGAACACGATAGCATAATCGGGCCCCACGTGCATCGCTTTTTCGATCGCTAGCCTAGCTTTGGTTCTCCTTGCATACCTGAACCGTGCCGTATAAGGAAACGGATGAGTTCGCATGTAACACAGGGCGTTTCAAACCAACCTAGAATACATACTACAGGTACACTTATTCAGTGCCCATCACGCAATAATTATTCCTTTTGCAGTCAGCGAATGGCCAGTCTTCGTAGGGCCACAAGTTAACGTACGCAGCTGCCCTCTTTGTCTATGCTTTTACAGCTGATGACGATCGAATATATCCGCCAGCTCTGTAACGGATGGGCCTTTGAAACACCAACTCCTTGCGCAATTTACATGTTTTGACACCTGGCGCGATTCCACGTCCCTGCCACGCAATACCACATGCGTCTAAAAGCTCCTACTGCATCACACTCATGGTATTTTTTTTTACCCAAGTGGTTTTCAGCAATGGCATGCCTCTGTGATAGAACACCTGCTTGCCCCGTGAGAGCCTGGCTTCGATTGTCACTCGAACAAACCATTTTTATTATTTATTGCATTTGCATGTTTCTCGTTTTTCTGTCACAGGCAACGTTCATTTTTTGCTCAATAAAGTCGACGCTATTACCAAAACAGGCGCTGGCACCACAATTTCAGAGAAATGAACTCTCTAACGTTCTCGCGTTTCAAATTACGATCTCCCTCGACGCAACCGTCAGTGGCCTGCGACTAACATGACGGAAATTTTCCGCTCCTTTTAAGCGCAGCGCAGCGACTTTTAAGTCAGTCACCGTCGAAATTTCGCCGACAAGTTTGTTTTGGTATGTCTATGATGCTGCGCAACTCCGACGCAATTTACATTGGAAGGTATCCTTTAAAAAAATTGCCCGCAGCTTCCCTCGGGGGAACACTGAGGAGGATGCGGACCATATAATTGGTTAACGGGGTGTTAAAGTGCGACTTACTTGGGTCGATGGCTAAATTGGTTAACGTGGTTGTGAAATGGGGTGTTAAATTGCGACTTACTTGGGTCGATGGCTAAATTGGTTAACGTGGTTGTAGGAGGGGGTGTTAAATGAGTGAACACGTACACACGTATGCGAAAGGGCGGCGCTGGTCGAAGGGACGTCGATCATTGTGTTTGTGGATTCGTTGGAATTCATTTCACCGCGATCTTGGACGTTGACGCGCCGTACAAACCAACCGACGAGCGGCAACTGAGCGAGCGAGCGCCGACCTTGAGTATATATACAGCACGACGGCGCATGCACAATCAGCTGTTGAATGTTCTCGAAGCGCGACGCCAAATGCGCGTCCACTGGAGAATCAGGAGAATTGTAGATGTCGAACGCGGTGTGTAGAGGAGGAAGGGTGCACAGATGGTGGAGGAGTGAAGCGCGCGCGGTGTGTAGAGGAGGAAGGGATGCACAGATGGTGGAAGAGTGGGCGACGGCGCGACGGCGCATGCGCGCGCGTCAGCTGTCGAATGTTCGAGAAGCGGTGCGGACGGCGCACTACAAGGCGCGAGTATAAGATGCTCCGCATCTAAAAATGGAGGCTGTTCATGCAAGCTTAACAGCATCGTGTCGCACACAGTGCTGCATAATAACATTCGAGAAATTATGCAGTGTCTACCACAAGTAACGGCAGAAAGCAACATTCTTGACCACGACTGTAGCCGAGAAAAAAAATTCAACGGCGATTCCGATACTGCCTAATGCAAACTCTTTGCGCAGCTATGTGTTGGGGTCAGGCCAACTGTGTTTGAAGGTCTACCTTTGCGCAAAGTATTGACTACGTTAAAAAACTGAATTTTTCTGGAGTAGGGTAGCACCCAGAATATGCCATTATTTGTCCTTGTGCGAATAATCGAGGTACCCACTGCACATTTCTAAGGTATTATGCCCATTTTCGTGATCCTACATGTGGCTGATAAGATGAATAAATATGGCTATTTTATTTTTTTTTGTGCCAGTCAGGTCTATATCAGTGCGAACGAAAGAATATTCTTCTGAATTCGGCACGCATAACATTTTTATTACTATTAATTGGCACTTCATATCAGCAACTAACTATAACATTAACTAGTGGACTTTGCAGTAAAATAATACTGTAATTACGGGGAGGATTCGCCTTTTACTTGGCCAGTCTCCTCCAGTGGGTGGCTGCCATGTGCGGAGGACAAGAAGAAGAGCGACACACTCATTTGTCTGCTTACAATTTTTTTTTGTAAGCAATAGTGCAGTTACCGTCCGTGGGATACTATATGTTTTCTTGGCCAATCCACCAGAGTGGGTATGTACCATAAATTCCAGGCTACAAACAAACAAACAAATTGTTTGCCTGGTGATTGGTTGTTATTTTCTTCTTCTACCACACTACATTACGAAGGTTAACGCGATTCCTTGCTCTACTTGGCGCTCGTATAGTATCCCCTTACAAATGATTTTAAACCACCAGCGTATACTTCTCGGTAGAAATCTCGACTGTCAGGTGGAATGACCGGGTACAAATACCACGGCCGATGGATCAAAGCGCACAGGTGTGCTTTGATCCCGTGGTAGTGCAATTGCCATTCAATGCTACATGGATAATTATTTATCGTTTCATAGTTTCGTGTCTACCGGTTACTTTTTAATGCCTGCTGGTTACGTCAGTGATGGTGAAAGTGACGGCGACGCCACTCAACATAGGAACGGCCGCTTAACAGCTGCGTCCTGAAATACACGGCGCATGCACAGCTCATGTGCAGCAAAAACGTGGTTAGTGGCAGTGGCGGAGAGCATTTTTTTTTTCTGCAAACGAAGCGTGTAAAGTATCCTTTAGTCGTCAGCAACCTAACTATGCGTGGTGACGGCCCTGACTGACAGTGCCTTCTTTCGTTTTTCTTTTTTTATTTCGCACGCTAATTCCAGCAGTTCGCTTCCGCAGCGATCATCGACGGCGCTTCGCAAACTGCTGCTCTATAGGAGCTCAGCTGTT